CCAGAGCTTGTGAATTTCAGGACAGACTTTACTTCATACTAAGTAAATATCACACTCCCTGGTGGAGTGTGAGGATGGCAAAATGGAGTGACTGAGAGCCAGCTGACACACAGTGGGTGCATGTAAGGTTGCCATGGTGCCACTGAACATTAGAGAAATGTGGCCCAAAGCAGTTACTTTTGTTGCCAATGTCACTGTGAGTGGCAGCGTGGATAGAGCACCTACAGGCGTCAGGTGCTTTGCTGATGCACATGCACGCTCACAACAATTTTGATTCAAGCTCCGGTCATACTAGGCTTTGTGAGGCATTTCACGAAGCTGGAGAAAGGAGTCCTGGGTGGTGCAAATGGTTAAGCACTTGACTACTGACTGAAAGGTTGGAGGTTCAAGCCCACCCAGAGACATCTGAAAAGAAAACCTGATGATCTGCTTCCCAAAAATCAGCCAGTGAAAACCCTATGGATCCAGTGAGAAAGACAGGGAGGAAGTGGTATAAGGGATGATTCCATGAAGGGATTGCAATCAACGACATGAAACAAAATATACGAATTGTTGAATGGAAAACAGATTTGCTCTGTAAACTTTCACCCAAATCACAATACAAAGTTAAAGAAAAAACAAGCAAGCAAGCAAGCCCGGTGGAGCACAGGTCTACTGTGACCCACGTGGAATTGCCATGGGTCAGAATCCACTCAAAGGCAACGGGCATTTGGTTTCTGTGTGCCGGGCAGAGCCCCTGGATGTTGCACATGGTGCTTGGCTGCAAACAAAAAGGTTGGAGGTTCAAACTCATCCAGAGGCACCTCAGAAGAAAGGCCTGGCAATCTGCTTCTGTAAAATCAGCCACTGACAACCCTATGGAGCAGTTTTACTCTTCCACGCCTGGCGTTGTCGCCATGGGTTGGAACCATCTCAATAGCATTTGTTTGGTTTGGTTTAAAGAAAGCAAACAGCACCAATTTGCACAAAGGTATCAAATCACTATAAAATCAGCAAAAGGGTCTTACCCTGCTGGGTCAACCACATGAAACCCACCCCACCTCACCTCACCCTTCATTCTGTCCCCACACTAGAGCTTGGCCACTGTCCTCCTCCACTGGCTGTCTAAATTTTCATTGTTGAGGAAGATCATTGTTACTGGGCTGTTTCCTCCAGGAAGGGGTGTGTCAGCCAACCGCAGTCAATATTGACTTTCTCTGCCAGAAGACAGATGATCAACCCGCCCTCTGGGGGGAGAAGCCCAAGGGATTCTGGGCCAAGTGAAATGAAACGGATATATTAAGAAATGTTTTGGTTTTCTTTTTATTAAGAAATGTCTCATAAAACAGGACGGCAAAATGATTAAGAGCCTGAAATCAGAGCCAGATGGCCCAGGTTCAAATCCCAGCTTCCCTACTTACCTGCTATGTGAACTCACTTCACCTCTCTGTGCCGGTTTCCTTATTGCAGTTTGGGGATAATGGTGCTATGCACCTTGGGAGGTGGTTGGTACAGCATAAGCATTGTATGTACATAATAAGTATTTATGAACCCAGTGGTGACCTAGCCCAGGATCATGTTTATAAAACCAAACCTGTGACTGTTGATTGGATTCCAGCTCATGGCGACACCATGTGTACAGAGTGGAACTGCTCTACAAGATTTTCTTGGCTGTAATCTTTACAAAAGCAAATTGCCAGGCCTTTCTTCTGTGGAGCTGCTTTGCCAACCTTTAGTTAGTAATTAAGCACAAATCATTTGCACCACCCAAGGACCTTGGTAATATTTATAGGCTTGTTCTTTTATTTTTTCCTACCTGGGAGAACTCCTATTCACCCTTCAAAACTCAGCAAAAATGTCCCTTCCTCCAGGCAGCCTAAGGAACCCTGTGGTGGCACAGTGGTTAAAGCATTTGGCTGCTAACTGAAAGGTCAGCTGTTTGAACCCACTAGCAGCTCCACAGAAAAAAAGCTTTGGCAGTCTGCTTGTGTAAATATTACAGCCTTGGAAACGCTATAGGGCAGTTCTACTCTTTCCTATAGGGTCGGTCACTATGAGTAGGAATCCACTCAATGGCAATGGACTTGGTTTGGGGGCCAGGCAGCCTTCCTGTCTCTGCCCCTGGACTAAGCTCTGGTTCCCATCCATCCTTCATTTTCCCTGCAAGATCCTTCCCTCTTTTCTGGCCCAGCCCTGACCCCATGGAGCTGCCCCGGGCTGGGTTCTCTAGGGTTCTTTCTGGGTCCCCAGCAAGTACCGAGGAGGGTGCAGGGTGTTTGCTGACCAGTGACGATCTGGTTCCAGATGAATAAACCCGTTTGTTGCTGTTGTTAGTTACCATTCCATCTGGAGAACAGTGCAGAGTGGAACTGTGCTCTGCAGGGTTTAAAAGGCTATAACATTTCAGAAGCATATTTCCAGGCTTTTCTACTGAGGTGCCTCTGGGAGGGTTCAGACTGCCAATCTTATGGCTAGTAGTTGAGTGCTGAACTTTACATTCAAACTCCTGAGTCTGTGAGACATGTTTTTTTCTCCCCCCCCCCCACCTCCTCTTCCCCTACATCTAGCCCTAAGGACATCCTTTCCCTGTGCAGAGCTAACCAGGCTCCCTCTCTTTGCCCGACTCCAGCTCCATTTCCCAATGATCCTGCTAATGTCCCTTCCTCCAGGAAGCCCTCCCAGCATCCCTGGGTCCTCTGGACCACACCAGCCCCATCCCTCCTCTGGCCCTGCCCAGCACCATGCTGTCTTTCCTCAGGGCCCCAGCAGGGCTGACCCAGTCTTACCCAGCATAGAGGGTGTTCCTGACAGAGGGGCCCAGGCTGAGCTGCCTCTCGGCCCTGTCTGACCACGTACCTGGGAAGCCTCGGGCGGCCAGGACCCTCACTGGTAGTGCCCCGCTATAGGCTCTAGTTTCGGTTCAGCGGCCCTGCGTCAGTGGGGCGGGGCCACTGCCCCCGCGGTTTCTGTTTCCTGGAGCAGGTGCGCTCTTGGGGCGGGAGCAGGACTTACCGAGTCACCCACTGTCTGCAGAGTCCAAGGAAGCTGCTCAGCCAAGGGGCAAGTGATGCCTGGCTCCCACCCAGCCACTCATAAGCCTTTACTGAACACCTACTGTGTGCCAAAGGGAGCTCTGGTAGCGTAGTGGCTAAGGCACTTGACTGCTAACCAGAAGGCTGGAGGTTCAAACCCACCAGCCACTCCTCAGAAGGAAGATGGGGCAATCTCCTTCCATAGTGATACTGCCTAGGAAACCCAAGGAGGGGTCGCTATGAGTCAGGTCCGACTCAACGGCACATAACAACAAACAACAACAACTGTGTGCCAAAGGGAGCTCTGGTAGCGTAGTGGCTAAGGCACTTGACTGCTAACCAGAAGGCTGGAGGTTCAAACCCACCAGCCACTCCTCAGAAGGAAGATGGGGCAATCCTACTTCCGTTGTGATA